CAAGGACCTGGACGTCCTGATGGGAACTCAATGGGAACTCAATGGGAACTCAATGGGGTACCCGGGTACCCCCAAAATGGTCATTTTTTGATGGAAGAAATAGGGACCTGTATGGAATAAATATGATGGGCCTTATCATGAGAAGCCTTGCACTTCGGGGGTACGCCATTCTCAGACAAAGCCATTTACTCAATAATTTAGTCCATGCATGTTCCTATTTGACTTGAATTGGTTCATTGCTGCGGTGATGGCAGGAGCTAGAGAGCGCCAGGATCACACAAGCGAGGGGCGGTGCAGATCGTATTCAGATGCTCGGAAGCATGTGGGCTTAGATCAGCATGTCTGATTTTCTTCAGTCCAAGCCTCCTGGTTCTCAATCGCCACAGATCCTGTTGTCACTGCATTCCAAGGAAGGCAAAAAAGGCGGTGGCTTGGCTTTTTGGAAGATTTTGGGGGGTGGGCACCTAAAGTGCTGATTGCTTGCAGTCTTTTCTGCTACTGAGATCTCTTGTGGCTGCCTGCCACACGACAGATGAGCTTCAAAGCTTAGAATCGGAAGCACCATTTCACGCCTCAACATCCCCAATCCACGGTAGACCGGCGTTGATCGCCAATTTTCTTCAAAGGATTTGACTTTGCCTGTGAGGTCCAACTGGCGCAGCAAAACTCCGAAAAATTCGGGAAAGGCTCGGCCGGAAGACTGCTGCACCAGGGGACTTGAAGTGTGAAGGTCAGTAGGCCAGGTACAGCGATTTGGGGTGCACCCCGTGCACCCCTGTGGAGCCGTCCAAGACTGGGCCACAGTGGATTCAACAGCTCATGCTGTGTGCTTCAGGTGATGGATCTCCAAGTTCTAAAAACATCAGGCAGCGGCTGCAAGCTCTCACCTGTGGATCCAGATTGTGATGGACAGTTGAGAAGAACTGCTTCAGACACTCGTAGGTCGTAGGTTTCTCACAAACCTGAGCCAATCACTGTCCCATTTTGCTGAGTGATCAAGGGTGTTCTGCCATTTGCGCAGGGTCACAGTCAAACCTTGGTCGCATGTTGTTTGCCTTCCTGTGATCTCCAGTTGAATGAACTTGGCCTTAAGATCTACCTCTGCCACTGCCAATGTAATTTTTCCTAGCCTCACGGACAGGAGCGTGGTCGATCCAGATGCCAACCGAAGCTTGGTGTCAAAGGATCGACAGATTATTATCCAGAACATTCCAGAACAAAAACAGCAGAACTGGACTCTTCCATCCAAACAGATCAGTTCCTGTCAAGTTGCGAACACTTCCTTTGGTCAATGGATTGGTTGAAGGGAAAATGTACAGAAGAAACATCACTGGTTTTTCACATCAAATCTTGAGTATATGTTCATTTTCATTTTTTTTTTGGGGATTTCCCGTACAGCTACAGTGATGGGTCTCTACCAGTTGTACCGCAAGTTGTACCCATTTATCTATACGTATATATATATATATTATGTGTGTGTGTGTGTGTTTGGGTTACCACGATTTCACTAGGGTTAGCTACTGTTGCCATTCAGTGAAATGCTTCTGGGCCATCTCCGTTCCCAGGGCTTGGTCCTCCCCTCGAGGCAAGAAGCGGAGCGAGCCGAACGTGCTTCCACCACACCAGCTGATGGCAAAGCTGGAGGAGCAGCTGCCTGCGGCGCAGAAGGCCAGCAGTTTCCAAGCAGTTTGTCTGGAGTCTGCAACCCATGTTTTATGTTTTTTTTTTTTTTTTACGGGATTTCTTGTACTTGATATGTTTGATATCTGCTTCTCCGTGCAGTCGTATTTGTAGGTGCCACACTGAGTCCTACTTTCCCGTGGTCCCCTGGTCCCACTGTTTTCATTTTTAACTTCCCAGGGATTCTTGAGGGACATTCCTGGGAGATTCAGAGAACTTCCTTGGGATTTGGTGCTTGTTTGACCAATGATCATCATCGCTAAATCCGCGGATCTTCAAAGTTTCTTTCACCTTGAAGCAATAGTGAACCACTAATTACGTATATGTAAAATAGAGATATAACAGCCAATTTGATACACATAATATGTGTATGTATATATATAATATAGAACGTAATATAATGATATAATATTATTTTGCTATCTGTACATTCACATTTTTTTATCGCTCTACACATCATTCAAGTGACCTGCTTTCTGGTGAAGGCCCTCGAGGACCTCAGGATTCATCGGGACAAATTCATGGCGAGTGCAGAGAAGGCAATGGAACATGTCGGTGATTCCGAGGGAAAATATGGCGACGAAGAATCCAAAGATATAACATGATATACCCTCTGGTAATTTGTTACATAGCTATTGAAAATGACCATTGAAATAGTGGATTTTCCCATTAAAAATGGTGGATCTTTCCATAGCTATGTTAAATTACCAGAGGGTAATTCCAATCACAGATAATTGAAATCATTAACAACTGCAATCAATTGATGATTCAACTTAATGTAGCTCATGCAGACATTGAATCACATCTGGCAGATTTAAAGATCATGCTTCTTAGATGTTCTTTGGTATATCCACGAAGATATGAGTTGAGGGGTTAACGAGCAGTGGCTGCGCAGCATGCCCTACCCCCTCTTTCACTGAATGATTCATTGATTGAGGACAGTGAAATACTGGAAGCACCAGGGAACTATGTGCCCTTCAACGGCCCTTCAACCAGTTCCTGCTGGCAAACATGGTCTGCTGGTAAAATCCCTCCATTGTGTTCCAGGATAGTCCCATTCAAACCTCCATTTATAGGGATAATTCCAATGTTCTACCAATGGTTTTCCCATGATGTTACCATTCAAACCTCCATTTATAGGGAATTTTCCTATATTGTATCATTATGTATCCATATGTCTAATATATTCCCATGATTTTCCCATGTTTTTCCCATGATTTTCCTATGATTTTTCTATGATGTTCCTATGAAAACCCTCATTTCAGCAGGGATTTCCCGGGCCGGGTGCCAGATGGTGCCAGGCCCAGCAGCTGCGTGAGCGCTTGCACCTGGATCCTCGAGCCATGGACCGACGAGTCAGCCAGCCGGAGGTGCCCATCTATATATGTAGATTTACAATTATAGATGATTATACATATATATATATATACTGTATATATATATGTATATATATATAAATAAATAACTATTATATAGTTATATGATTATAGAAGCATGCAACCACAATGTTATACACATATTTAATCACATATATATATAGCATAGATATGTTTAACCTCCAGGCATTGTAGACTATGAACATCCTGAAATGGACATCTCGTGCCGGTTCTGGCCACCTTGCGCAGCTGGCTGCCACGGCGAAAGGATCTGATGATTTGTCTGTGCATGTAATATATAGATATCGATATAGAATATAGACATATATATATAATATATATATAATAGATATATAATAGATATGATGTGCCCACCAAAATGCTGCGTTGATTCTTTTGTTGTTCCTTGAATGGTTTATAGCGCAGAGGCTTTTTGGGCAGGTCAATCTGGCGAAGAGCCTTCCTGTTGCAGCTGTTGCCAAGCCTGAGGCGTGTTTTGTGGCTAGTTTCAATGTTTTTTCCCCATCAGAATGGGATGATCTCAATTTGGTATAGCATATTTTCATATATTTTCGGGAGTTGTCAATTACTTACAGCCACCAATCAGTCGCTTTTTGAGGGGGTCGACCCATCTTGCATGATATCTTGCTATATACTGTAGTGAGGCAATCCAAAGCTCGACAATACGATGTGCGTGACACTAATGTTTCTCATACGGGAGCAGTTCAAAGAAGGCTTGGTTGAGACCTTGGGGTGGCCTCGGAGGTTCAGTTGGTCTACCGACACAGCAGTTGCAGCTTTTCGATGTGATGCTATTTGCTATTTGATGCTATTTGTACATACCAATGTTGCATCCTTGTTTGCTGGTTACCACGACACATGCATCGCCATGCTGCCTCTCTGCTGGAAGAGTTGCCTCACGGAATTGGCTAGGAAATCTGCAGGAACCCCCAAAACATTGCATTTAAAACCAACAGATGAGACCATGGTTTCCTGATGTTTCCTGTAGATTTCCATTTCATTAAACCCAGTAAATGCTCGGCCCTCATCACTTCCAGATGATTCTAATTTTGCTCAACTTGCGTGCAGGCTCGCACACGGCAAAAGCCCAAGGCTGCAAAGGGAGGGATTGACTTCAGAGTCGACCTTTTGAAGCAGACGGCCATCTTGAGCTGGCAATGAGCGGTTAATCTGATGTGTGCGTATATACTATTTTACGGTGTATACAATATATTCAATATATAATATATAATATTATAACATATTATTATGACGTATGATCTCTGTCGTTCAGATGCGGTATATACATATCACTGTATGTATACACTGCGTTAGTACTATATATTATATACATATATGTATAGCATACTATACTATACTGTACTATACTCTACTATAATATAATATGATTTGATATGATATGATATATATATATATAAAATATGTTTTGATACAATATATTATATGTGGGGGGGAGGGAGAGAGAGAGAGAGAGAGAGAGAAGTTAGCATGTACTGAAAGTAAGACACCATTTTGGAACTTGGCACAGACAACACGTGGACCAAACCGTGAATTTTGCGCCTGTGGTCCAGGGGTAGAATGATTGAATGAGCACCTCACCTCTCAAACTGCATCGCTTATTTACTGAGACTGACAGGCTTCTTTTTGGTAAACCAAAGTGAACTGTGCATGATGACAGGCTAGTCACACACACATATATATATATACATGCATGCATGCATGCATGCATACATACATACATACATACATATATACATATATACATATATGCACTCTGCATCAACAATGTACCAACATGTATCATCATGTATCAACAAACCAAACAAATCGCATGAGAAATGCTTTGCGAATGCCTGTTTCTGGCGATGGCACAGCCTCGGCATGTTTTCCGGCTGCGCCCTCCATCTGCTCCCTGGCCGAGAGATGACCAAGCTGCGTCGCGGGGTGCTGAAAGGCATCATCACTTCCAATGGCGGCACAGTTTGCGAAGATTTCGATGGCGCAACGCAGCCCGGTCTTGGGAGGTTGAACACACTGAATCTGTTGAAGAGTGTTCATAACAGTGTTCATAACAGATCATAGCACATCCAACAAATTCGCCATTTTGGATTTGTGAAATATGTCACCCTCCTTGACGTTTTTGATCATTTTTGACCAATTTAAATTTGGTACCCTTCCAAAGTGCCACGTTTCAGGCACGTGGTCATTGGTGCTGGAGTGCCAGAGACAACTTTGTCGAAACTACCCGTGGAAGTGCGAGTTGTGCAGGCAGACTGGCTTAGCACCTTGGCTCTTGAGCAACTTGACAAGCGAAGAGTCTGCGAAACTCAAGGATTCATCTCAGTGTGGGGTCCATGGGTCGACCCTGAGTTTGCGCCATTTCATAGCTTCTTGATGCTTCTTGTTGGTTGTTTTGCCATGTTTCATCATTGTTTTATCGCTGCTTATCGTGCACCATCATCGCGCATCAAAAAAAACACCAACCGATACCCATCGGTGTTTTTTCATTTTTTTTGCTCCCATGGGGTGAGCCATGGCAAACAACATTGATCAGCAGACGCAGCAAAATCATGTCGTGATGGGGAGAAAGCACTTCGTCAGTGAGACCCAGAGGGCGCATGATAGGTGGGTCAGATAAGAGCCTTCAAATGTGGCCAGATGTTGAAGTCATTGTAGGTCCCGCCTCATGAGCCTTGGCAAGGGAGGAACATATGACCAGTCTCAACATGGCATGAAAGAATCGAGGCAAGTCAGTGCAGCAAGGGAAGCGCCTTCCTGAAGCAGATTTCCAGGTGCAGATGCTTCTCTTGATTCTGCATGTGTTGGATGTGCATTTGAAAGTTTTGATGATCTTTTTCCATTCTGAATTTCCCCAAAAAAGCGTCCCAGTTGGATTTTGCCAATCACATGAGTCCTCAAAGACCTGTTTTGGCGAGGTCCGTGTGGCCCTTCCCGTGATCCCTACGAGAGTCGAGACAGCTGCGACACCCGCAAGTCTGGTTTCTCAACGGCGCGAGTCCGTGAAGACCGAGGTTAAGCCCTTTAAGCAGATCAAGGACGAAGGGGCCGAAGGGGCCGAAGGGACAAAGACGCTTGAAATGCAAGTCATGCAGTGATGTTACATGGAATCTAATGGAATCTAATGGAATCTAATGGAATCTAATGGAATCTAATGGAATCTAATGGAATCTAATGGAATCTAATGGATTATTCAATATTCGATACTCTCTCTCTCTATATATATATGTTTACTGTATGAGTATGATACGCTTTTACATTTTGGAAGAATCGAAATGATTTTGTGTGGAGTACTCCCGTTGTGCTTGTCGCCATGGATTCTGATAAAGCCCAGGATAGCTGGAGAAATTGCAACTTCCAACATGCCGCAGAATGCAACTTGGCTTTTGAATCTTGATTCAACTTGATTTCTCTCAAAAGAATTGCATAGAATCGTTCTTGTTGACCCCCATTTGCACAAAGCACCAGACGTATCTTTGAAGATCACCCCCTTTGAAGCGCTGGAAAACGATGGATACCGCCCCAACAAAGCATATACCCTACCAGTATCTACTGTACAAGTTATAACTTATGACTACCCATGATTTCCCAATATGACTGGGGTAACTAGCATCCACTGCTCCGGCAGTTCGTTAGGCGCATTACGCGTCGCAGGTGGAAATTGCCCAACAGCTGAAGCAGCTGGCGGAGGCCTATTCCGCTCGTGGGGACCGATGGCGAAGCTGGCAGCTGGCGAAGGCAATGGAAAGCGAAGGTTTTTTCGAATTCCATTTAGAAACCCATCAGGCAATATCCCATTCATATCCCATTCATATCCCATTGGTTGTATGACATGACTTTTGATGACTTTTGCCAAACAAATTTTGTGGTGACAATGATGACAATGGTGACAATGTAGCCTGGAGATTTGACTGATATGAATTCCTGGTCAGGCTGAGAGGTTGGTGAGAACATGGCCGGAACCATTGAGACATCCAGAGGAGTGCATGGACTTCAGAAGTGTCGATGCAAGTTGTGTCAAGGCATGGGTAAGCCCAAATCCAGCTTTGCCGGTGCGAAAAAAGTGCGTGAAGTTTTCAAGCAACTTGATCAGCAACCATCAACTCTTAACCAGAGGATTAAAAAACGGCCCATCCTTCAACAAAAGCAATTCCAACCGAGCCCTTTTGGCAGGACTTCGACCGGATCTCGGGTCTAGGCCCCAAAACCCGTGAGAAGTGTCGCGAGCTGCTTGAGACGGGTAGTTTGAAGCGGCTCAGTGCTATACAGGGACGCTTGGCAGGGGGCATGGGACCTACCTATTCTCAGGGGGATATGGGTATCAGACTATCAGATGGTATAAGTATAAGACATCTTGAAAATATCCGGGAATGGGGTATCAATGCAGCCACAAATGGCTGGTGATCTGCTCCATCCATGTTTTGGGAATCCCGGGCGCTCAGGTGATGCTGCGACGCATATTTTGCAGGAGTTCACCTGCATCCACGGTGCAGGAGAGTCTGTGGCCAGGAGGCGGCCCCGAAATTTTAGTGACCTGTTTCTGAGTCAAACAAATGACTCAATGACCAGACTAGAACATATATGAACATATTATATATATAGAAATCTGCAGAAATATTCTGAGATCTTGTGAAGCTCGTCACCAAAGGTCACCAGAGGTCACCAAACAGGTCACCCTCTCCCAAAGGTCACCAATGTCCTCCCACAGGTGGTTCCAAGCCGGCTGCCGCAGCCTGGAGGATCTACGCGCACGGCAAGACGAGCTCCAGTTGACGAGGACGCAGAGGCGTCGTCCAATGTTGGGGGTATGGTGACCTATGGTGACCTACAACCAGGTTTAACCAACATTGATGGGTTCAGTTCTTGAGACAGGTCGAAATCAAACGAAAGAATGAAACATAGTAATCTAGTAGACCATCCACTTTGGGGTCACAACTTTACTTTGCCAACATGGATTCTGTGCAATTCACTAAAAATTGCAGTGATTCACTAGCAGGGGCACAAGTCTTGAAAATGACACCATCCATTGGGCCAGGCTGGGCCAGGCTGGGCCATACATGGCCATACCATTGGACCATCGCCAGGCTGGGCCTGCAATATGTGGAGGACTTCAAGCAGCGCATCCCACGCAGCGAAGCGGAACAGCTCATCCAGCTGGTGTCCGATGCGGCGGAGAAGGCGTATGGCCCCAAGCAGGCCGCGGACCGAGGATGGACCTCGACCTGTTGGAGGATATGGAGGTTTGATGGGATAGGAATATCATGGGCACTAAAAATGGACATGGGACAATTCCCTATAAATGGAGGTCTTAATGAAACATGATGGGAAAATCATAGGACAATTAGAAAACGAAGGTTTTAATGGGTAAATAATCCACGCGATGGCAGCAAGCCATGTTTGATTACCAGAGGGATCCGGAGCGTCAACCGAAAAATGGCAACTTGAAGCTTGTGCACCCGAAGAAATTGCAGTTTTATTGTGTTTTAGTATGTTTTAGTATGGTTTAGTGGTGAAAATAATGAATGGAGTTGGGTGACCTTATTTTCAGAGCAACTGTTTGAGTGCCCTCGGATGACTGTACAGGAATCATCAGGAACCCCTTAGATCCAATGGGTTGATCTTCGACTTTGGGCTTTGGTGAAGAAAAGGAAATCAAGACCCCCTACATTGGGGTTTAGATGGTTTAGTCATTTTTTATTGTCAAGACTTTCCTGTAGCATATATGCCCAATGATAGATGTCCAGCCCTTCAGGTGGAAATGATCCCATGTGGCTCAATGCGCAGAGGACTCTCCTAGCATGTCCTCATTTGCATTTTGGTGTTGGTGTGTCTGAAAATGTGACGCCCTAAAATCTCATGGTATATATATACGTATATATGTATATCATATTGTATATACATTGATTATTAGATTATATTATATAAATTTATATAGTCTATTATAATATATTATAATTATACCATACAATAACAATTAATAACATATATATATATATATATCATTTTCGCCATCAAAGATGCCAATTCATTGGGGAACCGACTATTCCCCAGCCATTTTTGGAGCCAGATTTCCGGAACAGCGCGGCGCTTCAGGAGCGGCGAGCATGTCGGACATAGACCTTGTCATTGCACCGCGCCATGGATGCGTCCTCTCGGGAGGCTAACCTTGGTGAAAGGGTTGGTTATGGGAGTCCTTATGGGCTGAGGTAAATGGAATCCATGTGGCAAATGATGTTGTTTGAATATAATATAGTAATATAGTTAATGTATGTTAATGTCAATCCCACTAGAAGCAGCTAGCCAGCTTTGTCAGGACTGACTCCATTGCTGGTAGAGCTCAGATCTATGGATGTGGCCAAGGACGCCGTCGACACACTTTGAATCCGATGCGGACTGCGGACTGCTTTGTTAGATCTCTAGTTCTACAAGTCTATGGACTTTGGGAAAATCCTTCCTTTATGTTCCTTTATGTTCATGATGCCCAAAGGTTTCTGCAGTTTTGTACTCGTGGATCACTGGTGGCCTCGAGGAGGAGCTCGGTGGCCATGCGCCCAATTCTCCATCTGAGAACGGAGAAGAGACGCATCTGGGCATTTTTCGTTTGCCAACACCTGGCAGCTTGCACAGGCGACGTGAAAACACGGCACAAGAAGAATTTGGCACTATCATGGGAGAATGTATGTGAGTTTTATGAAACGTACAGTACTGGTTGGTGGTCAGATATTTTTTGCTTTCAACCAAATTTGGGATGATTATGTATTGTACTCAGACTCTATTTCAACTGCAGTTTTTTTTGCAGGGTTCAGGCAGCTTGAGCTGAACTTCGCAGGCGAATGGACCTGATTCTGTCACGGCGAGAACACTTGCCCCTGGTCTTGCTCAACTGGACTGGCTCGGGCCTCTTCTTGCGGGAACTCCACCGTTTGGCCAGCTACAAAGGCGCAGATGGAGTCGGGTTGCTTCTTTCTTTTGTGACTGTTTGCTTACACTATCTACACATTCTACACTCTTGTACAAAATATTCCTTGCTGATCATATTCGTAATTACTGCTTAGTATTTGGTTGCGCTTCATCTTCATCTTCTGATTTGAAGGCACATGACGTTGTGGGATACTTCCACTTTAGTCAGAGAGTCACAAATCCTTTCCTTTGGCCCCTTCAGCCATGTAATTCAGGTTTGAAGATCAGCTCTACTCAATTGCTGGCTCGAGATGCTAGTGGGAATGGAGTACAGGCTGGATTGCTGAAGCAGATCGGAACGCAGCATTAGATCTTGTACCAGATTGATTATAAATTATTATATAAATTGTTTCAAATCTGGGACAGTTCTCTAAGTTGGTTTCCTCCTTCTGCATTTGGTCTTCCCCAAAGTTAGCGCATCCTTCTCCATCGCCGCTGTGAGACACACTGGGCAGGTGCCGGTCACAGAGGAAGCAGACGTCTTCGAAGCCTTGGGACTGGCTTATCGGCCACCAGAACAACGCGAGCAGCTCGGCGGTGCAATGCTATCCCACGGAGGGCAAGCATGGGCAAGCCACATCTTTGTTGGCTTTTGATTTCTTTTGATTCAGTGACCTAATTCCAACACGGAGGGAAGAAACACGAAAAGGCCTTGAGTCGCCATGAGAACATCCAGAGTTGCCGTTGTGCCCATTTTGAGGCTGGACGACAGCCTCATGCGATTTGTGCAGGCGTGCAAGCCAGGTGGGCCACCTTTGAAGCGACAAAAGAGTGAGATGCTGTGCAGCAAGGATTCAATTTTATTTGTTTGCCATGCTTTTTCCATTGACACTGACAGCCATTAGTCACCATAGTATAGTCTATAGTCATAGGGATTTTTGCATCAAATAAAGATTCCACAGGAGTCTACGCTCTTCTTGGAGAGCGTGGACGCTGCTTAGCTTCTGCCGTGCGATTCCATGAGTATCATGATTTCCCTATCTGGAATGGTTAGCAAAGAAGTTGGAGCGGAGGGAACTTCATGTTTGGTTCTATAGTTACAATGGATTGGTTTAAGGGAAAATTTACAGGAAAGCCCCATATTTAATGGGAAAATCTATGGTTTCCTGTAGATTTTCCCTTAAACCAATCCATTGATAGTTACATTGGTTATACTGTTATACTCCTTTTGCTATTTTGTTTGTTATGTTGGTTATATTGGTCACAATCCCTTTGCTACTAAACATCATGTTGGTTATATTGGTACACGGCAAACCTGACATGGTGATGGTGAGCCTGTGGTGGTTTCGGCCAGAATCCTCCAAGGAGTGCCTCTCCGTCGCAGCATTCCATGCCGGCTTCGACCACTTCCCTTTCCCTTCCCTACGTTGAGGTCAGTGAAGAAGAAACTTGAGAGCAGCATTGACTGGAAGCTTTTCGACGCCTTGCCAACTTGTCCATAGAACTCATAGAACCGATGGCATTCAATGGATTTCTGCCCTGCACCAATTCCATTGTAAGACGTCATTAAGCCACACACACTGTGACATGGCCATCAGAGCTGGGTCCAAAGAGACCTGCATGGAAATACGTTTAAAGATGGCCCTTGTCCGCTAAGTGTTCTGTTGTTTCCTTTCCAGGGCAGCATTCAGTTTCAATGCAGTCTTACAGTCTTCAGTCTCCGCTTGCCATGCTTCCCAAGCAAAAAGAGAGCATCATCGCGTTCCAAATACAAATTACATCTCATCACAGAATTGTAAGTAGCTCTTGGTTAGAACATGTCATCACAGTTGCTCTTGGTTAACGGTTAGACATCTCTACGATAATTTTGGTGCCATTGCGCGGTGCTTGAGATCCACATTGCGATTCTGTCGACGCCAGGATCCTAAGCCTGCGGAGCTTCCGAGGCGCAGCCTTTGAGGTTTTGCAGGCTACCCATGCCTACCCGAGGATCTACAGGTAAAGTATGAGTTTAATAATGTGTCATAGAGTTTTATCATCACTTTCCGCCATTAGAGTCTTTGGAGGCTTAGGGGATCTTATGGGATCATATGGGGGTATACAATGGTATACCATGGGTATCCCTTTTGCCAGTTTTTTTGCAGGTCGCCGCAGATCTCGTGGAGGGCTTAGCTCTAGAATCCAAGGATCTGAAGTTCAAATCCAGGTGCCTTTCAAAGTGAATTAATGATGATAGCTATTGATAGCTTATGTTAGGTTAAAATATGTTAAAACATGTTATGTGATCCACTCTGATCTGAATAATTCAATCTATTAAAATAGTGATCCCAAGATGTTTTTTTTTTTCAGAACATCTGAAAATGTGGTACCCAAAAAAATCCAATGCCAGGGGTCAATCATCATTTTCCCATTGTTCTCCCCATAAAATGTGGCTCGTCCCAGGCCTGAAGAGCTTGAGCGAAGACAGGACACCACCGGGTGGCCGAAAAGGGCTGATGGGCTGGTGGCGAGTTATAGCGTTACTATGTTTGTTAATATAACATTGTTATAGAGTTATAGCTATTTTAGTTATTGATATCATTGAATATTATGGACTCTCAATTGTTAAATTGTTAATGATTCATTATTGACACTAGTGACAATCATCATGCTGATCATTTTATACCTGATATTGTTGTATTGAAGAAACCGTTATTAACATCCCGATTCTGGATTCTGGGAGGTTCTGGCACTCCCAAGATTCAGCCTCTGAAGTTTTGGGTGCCTCAAAATCTAGCGGTGGCCCCAATCATTCTGGCCGTTAAAATGGCCATTTTGGGGTTATACCATGTTATACCACATTTTCAGACGCACCCATGTCATTGACTCCAGGAATTCCAGAGGTTGGATGAAGAAGTTGAGAAATGCAAAGAGAAGTTGCGGTCCCTCTCCGAGCACTTTTCCAAGGCCAGCTTAGCAGCTTCGTGCTTCAGTCTAGGTATTCAGGGAGATGTGTATTTTGCAGTGAGCAAGCATGGCACTTTGCCATAGACCAACTCTGGAATCCTTTGGGTATATTTGAAGACAACAGGGGATCTATGGACAAGTGGACTGCGCACAGATGCAGTTGAATTTCAACCATATCAATGCTGCAAACGATATCACAATTAAACATTGCCAATCATTTCCATTAAATTTCAGTCCTTGTTGCTGAGCGTGCAATCAAACGACATTCTGATCCCTTCAAATTTACTGAGGTGCTGGGAACGGAGGTTGGGGTAGAGACCTTCAGCGAAGATATCACATTTGCCCTGTTGGAAGATAAAGAATCGGAGCAGCGACAGAAGCAGGACCTGCAGATATCTGCAGATTGATTTTTTTTGGTCATAGTGGATCCCGCAAATTTTCATGCATCGTTTTCCATCGTTTTCCCCATTCAATGACTAATTATTTGGGAGCTCCATTGTTGGCCTGGCCATAGGGCTTCAAAGGATTTGTGAACCTGCTTCAGCCGGCGTGTGTTGGCCCTTGCTGTTACATTGTGAGAGATGACTTGGAATTGGTGAAAAACTTCATTGACACCACAAAATGACAATTAAACAATGGATGGTTTCTTATGTTTCTTCGTGTTGGCGATTGTTTTAGTATTGTCAGTTATTCAAAACCAATACCCCAATAAATACATCAGTATTTCTAATTTATTGGGGGTATTGGGGGTATTACTAATACCAATAAAACCAATATTCAATATCCCAATCCCAATAATTGGAGATAAATCAATACCCCCAAAAAAGACCCAAGAAATAAATGGACTTATTCAATATCCCCAATATTCCATAATTTCTTGTCAGTATTTCTAATCCCATCGGGTCCCATCCCCCCAATACCAGCGACAGGATCAGCTTGCGCAGCTTCGGGAGGAGCTGGCAGAGCTCAGCCACAGCCAGGGTGGCCACGGTGGCCACGTGGCACCACCGGTGCCTCCCTTGGATGGAGAAGGCCAAAGCTGCTTCGATGGTGACAGGATCAGCTGCATCCAATTTAACGAAACAGCCGGTTGCTTGGTTTGTCTATACGTAAAGTATATTACAGTATAACATACAATATAACTTACTATACTTATATAGTAGTATACTTATGTTGAGCTTGGAGATGGGCGGTCACATTTTGTCAAACTCGAACTGATTTGATTGACGTTCGATATTTCTGGTGTTTGTGGCAGTTGGCCCGTCAAGCCCAACAAGTACGAAGAGCCCGCGGCGTGCATCGCAACTAGAGTCACAAGCAACGCTTGAGGCAGAGAATGGATGGTTTGTTCATGCAGATTGGTGCATTGCAATGAGATGTTGGTCGAGCCGGTGTTCTTTCCCTAGCGACTGAACAGAATGAAGCCGGTGTTTTACCAGAGCTTTTAAGCAGCCAATCCCAGATTTCAAGTTTTTCATCACCAGGACTTGCTCGGCAAGCGTGTGAATCCTGCTACTGGGCAGCAGTCATACTATTGCAACAGATGGAGGAATGAGTGCGAAATCAAACTTGACTCATAAGTTGAGGCATGAGATTTGACTCATGCTTGAACTTGTCCATCTCGTGGTGACCCGTGGTGATGTCTGTTCTGCACGCTCCATGACATAGCGTGCCTGACCATGACCAACTGTTGCTGCTGAAACAATTGCTTGGAAGAGACAAAAAGACAAATATCACAAGGAGACAGAGCCAATCCAGATTCACCTGGTACAAAGTTGACACTTAGCTGATGCAACAGCTGATGTTTTCTTAGGAACTGATGCAACAATTGTTGGCAGCACAAGGCCTGACAGAGTCCCACGAAACCTATCAAAGTGTAGGGAGAGACCTGAGAGACCTTTGCAAGGAGTTCCATTTCGTTAAAATCTCAGTGTGTGGACAAAATAACATGTTTTGAAATTATGTTTTGCAAGATGCTGGGTTTGTAATTGCAGAACGGAGCAGGTGAAACCTTGGGTATCCAAGAGCAGCTAAATGCCATCGAGGAGTTGTCAAGCCGGTGCAGTGACATTACACGTTTTGGATTTGCACGTCTCGGAACGGAATGTTCAGAGGAGCAGGACATTGGCAATGTTAAGGTAGATTCGGAGTTGATAGACAGGGATGGGAAAACAACAATGATCATGACATCAATGACATCAATGACCAATGCCTTTGTGGTTTCCGATATTTTTCTCAATTTTTGAAGCCTATTTCGGGGGAATTATGATCCCAATGGTTGAAACCATCAGATGCAGGAGCTCACCAAAGTGGTTCGCAACAAAGGTACCAACCTGAGCCCACAGGAGAAGCAGCAAATTAAGGACAGGACTCATGGAAATGGTATGAAGCTGGTGAACAGCTGTTTGATGTTGAATGATGTTGGATGTTGCATTGCAGTTTCTAGTTGATGCTAGTGGATAGATGCTGCATTTCCATGCTGTTTCAGTGAGTCGCGTAGGGCTCTTTGGTGGCCAGCAACTCTGGTTTCGTTATCGGCAGGAGCTCTTTGGAAAGCCAGATATCAAGAATGATTCGAGCTCTGAGGACTGTTTCTGTACGTTTTTTCCTGCTCGCAACCGACTGAACCAGTGGACCAGGCCACTGCCTTGAGGGAAGAGAAGAAAAAGATCCGGGAGCTCGAGAAGCAGGTCGTCTCCCAAAGTCTGGAATGAAACTCAGCGTTTCTTCGCTTCGCATTGCATCGCTTCATAGCATTGTGCCAGGTTGGCTCACGGAAAGACCAGTGGAACAACATTCAGGGCGCTTCTAAAGTCCTGCGGGGGTTAGCTGAAGGCCTTTTTGGACTCGTCAGAATTCTTTCTTCCAAACCTCTGAGCAGTATCGCGTGGTATTCATGTCGGATTTATAGTTATCGGATTTATAGTTATATGGCAGTGTGTCAAAACCTTGTACCCCTGGTGAACATCAAAATAGCTGGTAAATGGATGTTCATTCCCCTAAAAATGGTATTAATAGGTTTTGATCCATACCCATATATTTAATTAGAATTACTTAAAAGAATATGTAATTATTTATGTCTGATTTGCATCGTACCTGAATGTATTTGATGTAGATGGCTGTTCCATGCTGTTCCAATAATACCGTTCCTTTTTTTCTGTTGCATTCCACTGCCCGAACCAGGCAACATGACCAACGGAGAGCTGATGAAAAAGGCCCTGTGGTGCACAGCAAAAGCAATCAAAAACAGAGGGCAGTGTGCTAACGCCCAACTAAATCAACTAAACGTAACAAACATACTGCCAGCAAGGTGCTCGTGAGAGCTTTACCAAAGATGCGCCACAGATGCGCACCCACAAGGTATTTCTTAGGCTCTTAGGGTACACTCTGGTACACAGGAAGGAAATATAAGGAAATCCTCCTGGCACAAAGTGGACCAAAACTAAGTACCCAATGCCACGCGTTGAAAACGTCATGAAGCATTGTGAAGTATCCGGTGCCAGCATGTTATGCCTGCGTTTTACTAGACTCTGTAGCCCAGAAATAGAAACAGTAAAACAGCGGCACTTGCACACGTGCTTTGAAGTTCTCGGAAAGCATCATGATTCATTTGATGCACTGCATCATCAAGCTCGTGGGCAAGGTCCGCATGGTGAAAGCGGCATATGTGCGCACAGGTGGCATTGGGGACACAGGCACTTTGGAGCGGAATTTGCTTGAAGAGATGTCCGGAAACTCTTGCTTTGCTAACATCTGTTTTCGGCGAGCAAAAGTGGTTCCCAGCAGTTCATGACATCAAGATTCATCAAGCGCAAAGTGGCGGATCGGGCTTAAGATTCAACTTCATCTATGGCTGGCTAGTTGCAAGCCTGTTCAGGCACTGGAAGCACAGAGATGGAGACGCTCCAGGCAAAAAAAGGGGATGCGAACCTTTACCAGCAGAAACATCATGCTTGATGCTGGTACACACCCTTTCTCAGTCAGGAACTGATTAGCCGCATTTTCGCAGGCAGCTGCTGCAATGGCACGCTTTCAACGACGGTTGGGTTCCCCAGATGCTACTGATGTGCTGACATTTTCGGCATTTAGAAAAACATGTGATCCAATTGGTACCTGTGATCCACTTCCGATGCAACCTTGATCCAAGATCCGATGTTTGTTCGCCATTTGGATGACATATGAATACATATGATTTATTATGATTTCATGTGTTCCCTGGGTTTTTCCGTGCAAAAACTGTTTTGGTGCCCAGGCGGAATTCCGACGCGGTCACAACGGAATCCCTAGAGGCAGCAGGGCCCCGCGGCATGCGACGCTTCTCCGAGACGCCGGCCAGCGCAAGCGCTGATGCCAGTGGCAGGACAGCTGAACTGGTTGAAGAGATGGGAACATGTGTTACAATTTTAATCTTGCTGCATTTTCCCTTTAGTGCTTTGGTAATTAATTCTTATCCAATTTGGATCCATCCTGCATCCAAAAGACCTAAAGACAGGTAGTTTACGGTAGTTTGAGACGTGTATTTGTTCTACATGCCTTTTTTGACGCAGCTTTCATGAGTTGTCCCTTGTTGTTTCCTCTGGCAAGTTGCATCCGGTGCCCAGGCGGAACTCCGACGCGGTCACCACTGAAGCCCTGGAGGCAGCATGCCGCGGCATGCGACGCTTCTCCCAGATGCTGGCGAGCGCGCGGAGTGGTGGCAGCGAGGGAAGCGCTGGTGGCAGGACAGCTGAGCCACCCGGAGATGATTCAACTTCAAAAAATATATAAAATGGAGCCAAGAATTTCGATTCGTCAAAGGGTGATTTAGATTGATTTATATAGTATGATTCTATGATTTAGTTGGTTTCTCGATGTTTCTCGTATTTCCCAGTTGATTCCATTTTTGAGTGCCGATATGGGTGAAAAGCGTGGGACACCCAGTCGCCCAGAAAATGGGTGAAAATGGTCCGGTCAAGTCACTGGGCTACAGATGGCTACAGCTTGATGCACCGCTGGCCGCCTGGGATTTTGAAACCATCCATTGCGGGTCAATGATTTTTGGCCAATGAGGTACTAATCTGAGGTTGTTTACATGTGAGCAACTCGCCAAGGTTTCTGAAATTCAGTAGAGGCGCTCACTTTGTCGGGTGTCTGAAAATGGGGCAGTTTTGATACGGAAAATTCTGATTAAACATGGGATTGAGGGGACCGTTTTTTCAGACAAAGCCTTGTATTGAAATGATCTTCGCCAAATATGCATTTGCAGGAGTGGCTCTGCAGCTCCTTTGGCCAGAAGTCCTTCAGGCGCCACCTCAGAGTCAGCAGATTATGGCCGTGATCCAAGCGTTGTACAAAGATGTTAAAAGCGGATTATAGTGTGAAGCAGATCTAGTTCAAGCCTGTAGACGTCTCTAGACACCTTCAACACCTTCAAGCCTCCAGTTTTTGTGGTTCTTTGGCCATCCTTGACCTTTTTTCCAAGTTTTTTCTTTTGCCAGATTTTCATGAATTTCACCATATTTCACCAAAAAATCCTGGTGCTTCCGGCAGTCGAAGTGGATGACCTCCTGGATGGACCGACCATCCCCAGCGCTGCGAGCCCAGCTGCGACAGCGGCATCGCGATCGATCGCGTCTTCGGCATCCCAAAGCGAAGCAAGCCCTCGACATCCACCAGGATGCCATTGTCCAATGGGAATGAGTTAGACATAGTTAGACTAAATACTGTTAAATACTGACTAATGATTATGTATGATTATGTTAATGTTAATGTTAATGTATGTTATATAGTTTATGTCAATAAACATGTCTGTTTTACATTGTTTTACTGTTTCAGTGTACTGTTATTACTATATTACTGTTGCAGTTCAAATATCAGACCTTGGGACATCCCTGAGATTCGCCTCAGGAGGGAGCACCCGGAATCTGCGGCGCCGTAGAAGCAGTGGTGCTCAACTGGCCGGCGGCATCATCCATGGCGTGGGGCAGGCGACCTGCGTCATCGTTTTGAATTTTAACAATGTGTAACCTGGATGTAACCTGGAAATCATATATATATATATAGATATCATATCTATGATTGATGATCATACATTATCATACCATGTCTCTGACACTGCCAGGTATCATTGCAGGTTGCTGTGAACATGCGGAGGCGACATAGCCTTGCTGCAGGTCGGGACCATCAACGAGTAAACACCTGGCTCTGTCAGTCTGCCAGTGCTCTGGCAGGTGTAAGGGCAGCTCAAGAACAGAAGCGCCTGGGACCACCTTTAGGGATCGTCCTTGTCCTCAGAGAGAGCCGTATGCCGTCCAAAGTGAATCAGGTGAAGCTGCAGAACTTGATCCATGGGACGTCATGGGATCATATAGGACCATACCCTCATGAAATGGGCATAACTCCTGGCAGCAGCTCTAGATGGTCCGTTAAACCAAGCTGAGGCTGGACGCGGATCAGGGCAGGCGCACGTCTCTCTAAGTCAGTTTTCAACAATGGTCAACAATAATCCGAACTGCTTCATGCATTCAGTTCACTTTCTGCAACCTGGGAATACCCAAACAGTTATCAACCTCGGAAGCGTTTCGTTTGCAGGCACAGCACGGCTGCATGGCTGCACTTGCAGAGTCTGACATGTCTGACACTGCACTTTTCTAAACATGCATCTGAATGATATTATCTAGACCACACCCTGCATCGACTCCCTTGCTGACCTGCACCCAACATGGTATTTCCAAAACTATGATGAGCAGCAAGCGAACCAGTGCCCACATTGACGAAGCAATGTTACTGCAACAAGTCTTGACAACTCATTCTTTTAACATCTGAGTGTCCAGTTTATTTCCCGTTTCCGGATTTGTTTCTTGGCACACAGAACGGGGCCTAGGTGATAGAACGCTTGGTGCACTGAACCTTTCACCACGGAGGGCCAGTGCACCTTGGGCTAGTCGAGTGGCGGTGAAAGCCAGAAGAAACTTGAATCTTGAATCATCAAACTCATTTAACATCATTTAAACGCATGATCACATATGATCACAAACAGAAACACGGGTAGATTCACGATGAAGCCTCCCATGGTCAGTGCGTCACACCTCGAGGTTTGAACTTCAAGACGAGGCAAGAGCATGTGAAAGAAATTGAAAGAAAATAACAGCTTGGTGTTTGCCCTTTTTTTTTCTCAGAGAATTCATCCATTCATTGTGTCTCACTGTCTCACTGCGTTGCGGCCATATCCACAGTGGTGAGCGGAGGCTGTCAGAAAACTAGCATTGAAGATGCAGCGACCGAAGCAGCACTTGTCTTTGTCTATAGGACGTCTTTGGGCTAGCAGAGCGACACACCGTCACACCGTGGCAATGTGCTTGAAGATGAAACTTGATTATAATATATTATAACTATTATAATAGGCCTTCTGCTTTGCAGACCTTTGCAGCTCTGCTAGTCCAAACATTCGTACATAGCTACTGACGAGGGCTTTGCATCCAAGAAAGACATCAGGGTCTCTTCAGATCTCACATTTCAAATACACTGCAAAGCCATGCACAGTGCACAGTGCACAGCCCTTGTATTTCCTGTCTGCTCTGATTTAGCCTATGGACGTCATTCAATGTCTGCCATAGGATGGCAGCCTGAAATCCTAAGGCGCCTTTGATTGGTCAGGATTCAAAAAGACGCGTGGTCCGTAAATGACATGAATATGACATGGACAAAAGTTTGCACGTTCTTGCATTTTCTCCCAAGCTTTGTCGCAGTTTCCGTTAATTTTGTCCAGCATTTTGGCACATCAGCAACTGCTACATCAGTAGCTGTCATTCCATGACGTGAAGCAGGGTAGTCCACGCAGATATGACTAGAATTTTGCACGAACAATTCTGTTCAAACTAGTGGCTCATTACACTTGATTTGACTCAATAGTTTGACTCCTAAAATTACGTTCGCATCCGGTGCTTGGCACACCTGACTTCTATCAAGTTGGAATCCACTCTGCAGTCCTCAGCCATGGGCGCGAAGGCAGATTGCATGAGAGCTCATAAGATATCAATATGATTCAATAGTGTGTATATAAAATTGTACAAAATCTTATATCTACAAATATGCGATTAATATTCCTTAATAATTAAATATGTATGTCATGAATAATATCTTAGGCTTCAGGAGCTCAAGCAACCAAAAAGATCAACGGACTTTGATGAGTGATACCACGGTCAAGGACTCCAAGGAACATAGTGAAAGTGAGTGTTTAGCTCACCGTTTACAATCGAACATCAGCGAACTATGACATGCCATGTACAGTACTTATTCAGAATTTCCGTGGTTTGATCAGAGATGCGCATTCAATGTCTCACTGGCAGGGGTCCACACATGCGTCCGACGGCAAAGTTTTCACGTTGGAAAAGCTTGTCCTGTTCCCAGCGGCAGAGGATTTTTGGCCATGGCGACTCAAGATCGGGTTCCATTGGAGCCACAAATAAAATGGGTGATATTTTTTTCCGCAGCAATTCTAAGCCACACCCATATGCTGCAAGACATTTGGAGAAGCCAAAGTTAACCTCCGTAATTACTCAGTATCGCAGGATGGTTGCAACGATCTTCTGTTCTGATGCTTTCCAAGCTTCTCACACCTCAGGCGCAGTTTGATGGCACAACCATGCCCTCTTATATTGCCATTCTGGGAAAGGCGCAGAAACATCTGATTTTCTTCAAGCTACTCATGACACGCTGATGCTTGACTGCGTAGAACCCTAGCCACACAAGTCATTGGCTTGCAGGTCTATGATGTGAGTGAATCCAGCAATTTTCAAGCTGGAGGAGATGCAATTTCCGGGGATTCCACATGATTGCACTTATCACTGAAAGTTATCTTCAGATTGCCTGGTCACCATTCTGTCAAAGTCCAGGAGGTTATGGCGACTTGTGGGCGGGCTGTGATTGCACTTATGCATTGGCAACCCTGTCGCTGGACAAGGAAGATGCCAACAGGTGCCCCGGGGGGATCCACTTAGAGCCATTTTTGAATCATCCAATCTGTGGTTTATTGTTGGGTATACCATGAGAAGCATGGTATACGGTATACCACTGCTTTGGATGATGAATAAGAATGTATAAGATTGAAAGATAGTCCCCACTTGGTTGACGATTCGGGATACCTCAGAGATTTTCAGTAGTTGAAGACATCCCAATTATTGCTAGTTCATCAGCCATTTACACCCCATACCCCCAGCCACAAATCTCATTGGATCATTTAATGGATCCCATTGGGGGGATAAACATCCACCAGCTACAGCTATTACCATTGGTACCATCCAGGTAGGGTTTTGACCTATTACCATTGGTAGCCCCCATTATTTGATCCAGGCTAGACTGGGAGATGAGCCAGTTCAGCGAGCAGCAAGTGAAGGCTCTGGCAGCATGGCTGGGTTTCTCAGCTTTTGACATGTCTTTACATATATATATAATTATATATTAGATATACATACCATGTATATTTTCATATCTTTACTAAGGCCGTCCAGTAATGAGCGATAATCAAATCTCGTGTTTCTCCAAATTGTCAGCAAAACCTCGGGCTCTTCCCGAAACAAAAGGTGTTTCTCCCGAAAACCTCCTGTTTTGGACCATACATAAGAAACACATTTGAAAACCACACCTGTTTGAAAAATTAAAAGGTTGCGCCTGACACCCCTATTCGCTCCACTTTAAACCCATATCAACCCGGGCTTTTGGCACCAAAACACAGGGTTTCCATTCAACATCTGGTTTTCCCAAACCCATATCAAAGCCATGTTTACCACCTCGGGTTTTTCACCGTACCCTTTATTCTGGTGGAGCCTGCGTTACGCCTATGTTGGCCCACATTAGAACTATGTTGAGCCTGTGTTGCCAACGTCGTGGACCTACGTTGGACCTATGTTGGGATTATATTTGGCAGCTTAGCCATGCTCAGCCGATGCATTTCATGCCACCTCAAGGACCATAGTTTGGAAATATGTTGCGTGATTGTGATATAATATAATATAATAATATAATAATATAATAATATAATAATATAATAATAATAATAATATATATATATAATGCGAGGAAAAGGCTGCAAAGCGGCCCAAAATGAGCTCACACACTCGGTTTATGTGCTCCTATTTGGGCCCAACATGGACCCCTAGATGATGCACCGGAGCTTTAAGGTACCCCCCAACAAAGGTTCAGAATCTTCCAAAAGTGGCATGGCTCAATATGGAGATCCAGAAAAATTGACCGTGAAACTAACGTGTGAATATGACATAATATGACGACCTTAAGGATATGGACCACTAAGTGGCCACTTGTATGAGCCTAGGTTATGCAGTTATGCATATTAGGCCATGTTGAGCCCACGTGGCCGATGTTGTGGCAAGTTCGGGCCTATGTTGGGCCTATGCATTATTACTTAATGTTGTTATATGTTGTTATATATCATTTTATATTGATGTGATAAGTTATTGTATGTTACTGTTCTTGTTATTGTTATTGCTCGAGCCTTCGGAGAATTTAGCCTTTTTTGCATGTTTGGGGAGGGTGGGTGGGTGGAGGGTATTCACGTTCATTCTAACTTGCACACACCATTGATGCTCCGCTAGAGATGAATTACGCTACGTCATGAGACAAGTACTACGTCATGAGTTACGCTACGTAGTGTATATGTATACGTGTACGTGTACGGGTGGATGTATGCGTTTGTGTATTTACATACACCGAAACTTTAATAATATGGAAAGTTCCAACACAACCTTAGTCATGCCCCCCTCAGTCTGTTTTCTGTTGAGGCATCAGGAGGCATCACATGCATTATCCACATGAAATTGGTGGTTCCCTGTGGCATCAACGCCCAGGAAGTCATACTTCGACCAGAAGTATGAGGTGGTCGGCGTGCTGGCGGAGTACGAAGGAGAATATGTCGACGACGACTACATCTTCAAAGCATGCGCTATGAAGATTTATGTAGATATGTTTGACACATGAGCATCTTCAGGTATGTTTGTTTTGCTACGCAGAAATCGTCCTTTGGTTGGCTCTTAACCTATCAATCATCCAGTGGGTCCAGAGGACGGAACATCGAGCTTCCAGAGATTGCGTTCGGGGCTACAACGCAGCCAACGTTGATTCCCTTCCATACTCAGTTGAAGAAAAAAAGGCGTAAGATGGCGAAAGAACTCCTATCCTTGAGATGCTGATGCTGAGCGGATTTATGATTGAATATCATGAACATAATTTCTCACCATCTTTCCAAAGGAAAACCACGCAGAGAGACACTGCAAGAATTTATTAGCACTGCCATGAATCAAAGATTCTTTTGGAAGTATCTTGCACTTTTTACACATTCTCAGGCAGGGCTCAAGTGCTGCCCTATGCTGATGCTGTTGACAGGTTTAATTTTTGGTAGATACTAGTTACTAGTATCGATTTCTGATGGCGGAGACAAATGCTCAGCCGCATGTGGTGCAAGCTCAAGTTGTTCAGGCTTGCATTGGGGCATTTGTGAGGTGTAGTTGCAATTTGAAATCATTTGAAGCTCCATGTACTAAACATCTATAGATACTTCCGACCCAAGCTACCGTGTTTCATTTGCTCATGTTTGGAATGATCGCGTGTGTGGGTCACCAGTCTCAAAAAGCCCTGTTGGAAACTACGGAGGCTATTATCATGGAATTCCATCAGCAAAATAGATTACCCTCTGGTTATGTCAAAATAGCTATTGAAAATGGCCATTTATAGTGCATTTTCCCATTAAAAATGGTGATTTTCAATAGCTATGTTAAATTACCAGAGGGTAGTTTCTGGTTTTTCTGCAAGTTCTGACAAGCACAGCAGTCTGATGAGCACCAAAGCAGTAGATTTATGGCAGTCTGGTGTTTGTGGAATTGTTGTTAATCCCAAGTTGTCACATCACCCAAGATAGATGTGTGGCGACCCTGTTTCAACAATGACCGGTCTCCCACCTCAGTCATCTTCATGTCACTCGGCTGTCAGTTATTCTTGCACGGAGGCCACCGTGGTTGGGCAACCAGTAGACTCTTGGCACAACCAACTGGACTCGACCTACTGTTTGTGTGTTTGGACCATGGACTGGACCTGCTTCGAGTTTGCAAAACCTGAGGGCCAGGCAGGCTATCCACAACCAGTACAAGCATTTCAAGGGCAAGCAATGTTGCTTGCCTCAAGATGGAAACGAGACATCCTTTTCAGATCCTTTTGGAACGATGAACATTGATGAAACTCGGATGCCAGGTATGGACAGCAAGCGCCCTACGCTCCTTATAATGCATATGCTGCAACTCCAGACCAATCAGGTACAGATGTGCTGTGGTGAAGGATCACTTTGATCTACAGATGATCTACAGATACTCTGCAGATGATCCAAGATCAAGATAGATCAAGTAGTGTCATCACGATATGAACCGACAAAATTATTGTGATAATATGTGATAATTTAGATTAATTTAGTCTTGCTTCGCCTTGGCCTTTCCAAAGTTGCACAAAACCTTCATAACCGATAGGGGATGACCCTATACCGATACCCCATTTATGATACCTGCGGGAATACTGAAATCCTCACAACCGATAGGGAACGACCCTAATTTATTTGTGCATGGCATTAGATTTAACATATTTTGTCCGCTACTCATATGTTCAAATCATCTAAATGAATCTCATCTTTCAGTCAATTGGATCTGACTTCGCTTCAGTTTGACCAACTTGAACCCCATGCCAGGTGCCCAGATGAGCTGGATGCTGTATGGAATTGGTGGCTTTTCTGAATCGTCAAACAGAACTTGAAGTCTGCACATGGATGTTTGCCCATAGACACGTGCAGACAGTTAAAGTCTGAGGCTGGGTTTTGCAACTTGGCAGAAGTCAATGGTTGGCGTGTTTGAATCCCGAATCATCACATCAAGTTGAAGTCGTGTCAGGCATATATTCAGCAATATTCAGCAATATTCAGCATACTTGTAACCAAACCCGATATCCCTCCCATACCGAGAGGTTGCGCAGCGCACCGCACCTTAGGTGCTGCTGCTTTGGACCAGTTGGACCAATCTTTTGGTTTGCGGTGGCATGCATGCACTACTGCAAGCCAAAGGCATCTCGGCCCATTGCGACGGATCAGGCAGGCGGAGGTCCTCAGGCCTCAGGTCGTCGGCGAAATTTTCGGCCATTGCTAAGGAAGTTCGCCAGAACTTGCCCTTGGATGCTTGACCGAGAAAACTGTGTCCTTGAGCTTTCACAGTTTCCTTGTTTAAAAGGTTTGTTATGTTTGTTGGAAAATTGAGTACCCACTAATCCCATGGTTGATCATCATTGTCCGCATAAACATTGCCATTTTGGGGTATCCCCCAGTTCTGGACAAAGCCACAAATTAAATACGCGTGCAAAATGCTTACAACCTCATGCAGCATGTCATGTACCCGCAACAGCCGGCAACAGCATTGAATCAAATCAGTTCATTCATTGTCACCAGGAGAGTCAGGTTGCGTGCGTGTCTTTGGGCACAGCCATTGCGACTACGGTTCTAACAGTGTGAGGCTCAGATTGACTTACTTGACCATCCAAACTGGAGGTAACATTGGCTTCGACATGAGTCAACCAGGCGATAGATTCGGGTACTGCATAGTTCCATAAGTTGGTCTGACCAAGGTTGTCATTATAGCTTTGATCATCACTGCGTGGGCGTCCGTAATTTCAACAACAGTGGCTGCAGGGCTGCACAAGTACGGAAGAAAGTTTCGACAGGAGACCAACAGATTTAGTTGCGCTTCCATTGCAGATGTGCATCTCAGGATGATGGCTCCTACTCTTACTACTCTTCTGGCAGTAGTTATTCAGGATATCGTTAAGGCTAAGGCACCAGCATCAGTGGCTGCGCTGTGTTTCAAGGTATTTGTATTATATTTGTACAGATTTGTATTGTATTTGTTAAATTTTGTTTAGTAGTTTCTTGAGATCTCTGCGATGAATTGCGTACTTTGCAAACCTGTACTTCCCAGGCGCAGCCATCAGCTTGTCAATCTTCTACCACGAGTGCTCACCTGCTGAAGCATGGTGCCATTCTGCCGTTGGATCTAAAAGGAGTAGACTGAACAATATACTGAATAACGTACAGCTTGCCATCGTTCGTCATCATTTTTTGTTGCATCTCCAAGTACCTTGCCATGTGAAAAATGGATGAATATGATGAAAATGGTTGATGGGCACCTTTCGCGCTAGTTGTTCCGCAATGCAGTGGCTACTCTCGAAGTAGATTGCCACGCATTGCACCCAGGTATCAACTCTGTAAAGGCAGTATTGATTCACTGGGAACATTCCTGTGTGAAAAAAGTGGTGACTCATCGCATGGGCAAGTGAACTGATGCAACCATGAAGCTTTCCTGACCCTTGAAACTAATGCTGACCACTCTTCTCACATCTTCTCACGCTGATAAGGACCGCGGCGCAAGTTCAACTGCCAGGCGGGGGTCGCCAAATCTTTGCAAGAAGCACTCTTTCTGAGTGAGGTTCGCATCAGGTGTTGATAGGGTGTGGGCGGAGGCTATTGCAAAGTCTTTGTGCAGAATCATGTCTCCTACTTTGACTTGGCCTTTGCAATAGCCACTGAATGTAAAGCCCTTGGAGTCAACCCGTGCTTTCAATTTTTTAAAGACCAGTTCAGCAACCGTTTGCATTCTCCTAGTGAAACCAAGCCCAGTTTGGCAGGGATCAGTGGAGGAGATGGCATCGCTGCAGGCAAAACTCCACCAGTGAAGGTGGGACGCAGCTTTGCTTTTCGGGATATGCACCAAGTACCCATAAGTAATCTATAATTCACCACATTTGATAAAACATATCCGCTGCAAACCCTACGTTTGACCGTGGCGGAAATCAACTGAAGCTCAGAGGGGGTGGGGGATCTGATCCCTCATGAAGATAAGTGGAAGCTAATAAACCGTTTAACAAATTTGTTCAGAGGGGGTGGGGGATTTGATCCCTTATGAAGATTGGATTCCCCTACTAGAAAATATCCCTGTTAAACTTATGGACTTATGGGCTACAGTCCTTACTTGTGTCGCCAGAGAGTAGCTTGTTTGGAGGGTGTAGATCATGTTACATGTTTGATTTAGACAGTAGAGTCGAGGAGAGATTTTTGTGGGTTATGGTCGAACGTGGGGTTTGGAGCCAACATAGCTTAAGTCTATATCACTGTTCGCAATTTGGGGTGTAGATCCGTTAGGTTTAGATCCGCTACCTTTCAAATCTCAAAAAATCCCAAAAAATCCTAGAAGTTCATGTCTAACTGTGGTATCACCAAGAGGCAGTAATGAAGCAAAAGAAACTGCGGGCATGAACGGTTTTTTCCTATCAAAGCAATGCGATTTTTTCGCGATAAGCCGTTGATTTGAACAATGGCAACCAATCTAATGACAAGTGAACCCTGTCAGTTGAAACTGACGATTGAGGGTTCTGAACGTAGCAGCAGGCATGACCTCGGCTCATTTGACACTGACCTTAAGCCCATGCAACAATAGACACCGGCAACAGCAATGCCAAGTCATGACAACTTTCGCACCTGCATATGCAAGAACATCACCCCTTTAGACACTTGTTGGCCCATTGTGAGACATTTTGAGACATTTTGAGACATTTCGAGCAATTTTGAACAATTTTGAGCAATTTTGAATAATTTTGAGCAGTTTTGAGCAGTTTTTTCGGGCCAGCTTGGGTCATTTCCACCAATTTTGAGCATCTTTGTCGGGCAAGTTCGGGTCATGTCGAGCAATTCTGAACAATTTTTGGAAGCGCGATATGGCATTGTTGACCTTGGACAGTGTTCAAAAATTCTCAATTGAGGCTGCTTTGAGACATCTTACTTTGGATGAAAAAGGTAGCTCATGTAAACCCCACGGATCTAGACCCTAAAACGAGATCAGTGACTATATATCATATGATATAATCATATGATATAAGAGAGCACAACCGTACAGACATTGTCTTATAGAAGCTAGATTGCTAGTCTAACCATATTAATACCATATGATACCCCAATGACAATGCTTTGGAATGAGGCATCTGCAACCCTGTGGCCACCCATGGCCCCTGCCGTGTTGCTTCAGGTTCGACCCTGTGCGCCAGTGGTGGGAGAGGCCTCACCGACTTTGCTGAGCATTCACCCTAAAATCGCTGTTTACAGTGAGGTTTAACGGGGAAGATGAGGATTGAATATGATTGAGGATGATTGACCGATGCATTCTGGGGTGTACCAAGTGGGTCCGTTTTGGATATTGTACGTTACCGAGCCAGCTTGATGCTTCCTCCCAGCATCTTCCACGCATTTGCAACCTTTCTCTTGACTGCTTGGAGGCACCCAGGGTGGAGCGCTTGTGAGCCGCCAGGTGAGGAGTATGACATCTGCCACCTCCCAAGTCAGCAAGTCCCCAAGTCCATGTTTTAATCGCGCCAAGTTCCTGTGCTTATGCAGCACACGGCAGCGAATCATTCAGCATCTGCACAGAGTGATAGTCCGAATTCAATGTTCAAATTGTCCAAAGGACTGTGACTAGACCTCGGCGAATAGCCCAAAGAGAAAAGGGGGGGAGTTGAATCATTTCAGATCAAAAAACTGCAAAGCTGATGATGCTTGGTGCCAATAGCAGCGACAAAAACACACTGCTTTTGTCTCACAAGTCACTACTCTACAGTTTTGCTCTATAGTTTTTCCGGAGTCATGCCAAAACATATTTAGTACGCGAAAAAGAGAACGACTCCATGAATCATGGTTCAAGCTCTGGTGTACTTGCGGGCACTGTCAAAGCATCGGCGAAGACACCATTAGAAGGTTTGCAGACAAAGTCCCTATACAGAAGCGCGTTGCGCAGAAAATGATGTCTTTGCGGGTGAGCCAACGTACGTTAAGTTCCTGCGATCCCCGCCCTTGGCCGGAGCAAGGCTCTGCTGGGATGTTGTGTGTTTGATGCTGCACTCTCCAAGTGCCAAACAGATCCAACCACTACTCGTACAATCACAAAGCCTTGCGATTTTGGAGTACGGTATACCTCATCTCTAGACAAACCGGGTGACT